TTCCCAATTTGAAAATGATACCAATTTCGAAGAAATTCAGAAAACACCGCGAATATAATAATAATAATAATAATAATCAATCATTGTTTAAACACACCACCCGTCGCTATTACCGAACGAACGATTTAGCGAGGTCTTCGGACCGACGCGACGCTCGTCGACCTACCGTCGACGGACGAGTGGGATAGTCGACCGAACTTGATCGTTTAGAGCAGTGTTTTTCAACCTGTAGCTCGCAAACCCCAGTGCGATCGCTAAGCCTTACTACAATGAAAAAGTACAATTTAGTGCGAAGTGATCTCTGCAGCACAGCTAGGCATTTTAAACCTTATTTATCAGTGTCGTAGTAGTAATTTGTCTTTTTTACACAGAACTGAACAACATATTACAAAACTTACAAATAAACACGACTTAAGGAAACCAAGAATACATTACATTTACATAAGTAAATAATTTGAAAGTTTGCCACAAAATGTCGTCGTTCAGCAATCAATGCAATATCCCGCACTGTAACTACCAACCCAACCCACTATACATTTACAAATATCCATGCCCGAACCCGGAGACCCTAGTATCGCAGTCGGGCTGCAACTCAACTGCGCCACACGGACCGGCATTTAGACTGCAAGGGAATCTAAGAAGATCCATTCAGACAACAAAGCTTAATTCTTGAATTAAGCTACCTCACAACAAGAAACATTTTGCAGAAAGATCTGCTCTTTTTGATCTAAGTAGGTATTCAGTTGTTCTCAAAGTGGGGGTGCCGCAAGTAACTCATAAGGGTGCCGGCGAGGGTGCCGGTAACTTTTTAAATACACAATTAACTTAAAATTCCATAAATTAAAAATGGAATTAAAACAATTATAAAAAATTGTTATTCGTTTTTTATTACAATTCTGTTTTTTAGTTTCTATTTTATTTATCTCTACTTCATTAATCAATCATATGCTGGTATTGCATTACGTCTCACTTTGTCACTCTTATAACTCCCACTTTCAATGTGTCTTTTCAACTAATCTTGTTAGGTACGTTATCACTTCACTTCTTATTCTCTCAGTGGTTCGATAATGGCGTTACGTAAATATTAGAAAAAAATTCAAAAGTGACCATTCTCTCTCACAATCTTTCTCACCCTTCTTTGTGCCACGATCTATTATAGAAAAAAAAAGCGCGATCGGGGTTTCGAACCCGCATCATCATAATCGAAAGGCGGCGGCCTTGAACTTGGAGTTTGCGGTACGCAACGTCCTATTAAATACTTAATGAGTCAAAAATCAAGGATTGTGTCAAATATCTATATATGATAATGCTTTATAACATTTTACAGTTTAGAATACCGTCATATTTATATCACCTATTGATAAGAAGATCGGCTGCTCATTGTGTAAATTTAAGAACTAATTCTTTTACAATACCTAGACATAAAACTGCAAAATTCCAGGGTTGCTTCACATATGTTGCACCATCTTTGTTAAATTTAAGGTTAGATGCATTGCACATGAACTATCCAGAGTTTGTTAGATCTACTAAGAGCTTTTTCTTAGAGAATTGTAATTAATTTAGCAAGACGACTGTTTTTGTTTTTTTTTATCATTTTGTGTCTTACAGGATGAATTGAAAAACGGCTTTAGGCCGAATTCATTACCTTTTGAGCTGTACAACATTATTATTTTATTGTTTTGTTTCGTTTAGATGTATGCTCAATAAACATTATTTTTTATTTTTTTTTTTTTTTGTATAGGTGGGGAAATGCTCCTTATGCACACTCTAGAAGGAAGTTCCAGAGTAGTGTGGGGCTCTCCCATTGCGAATACCCACTAAAACCCCACCTAAGGCTTCGGCTGCTGAGGCCATTTGCCTATCAGTATCACCCATTTTTATTACTTTTTACACAGATATAGACAAGTACAACGAACAAGAACTAAGCAACATACGTACATACTAATATCACAGAATATCACATTTCATTCAAAATTCCAATGCCTCGCATAATATCACAGATTATCACAGATCATTTAAAATTCCAATGCTTCGCATGAATCCCAACACACCTCTACACTACAGCGATCCTGACTAGCAAAATTTGTTTCCCATATCACACTAATTTTAAATAGGTCACGCTCATTTTGGTATCTTACACAAACACAAAGTATGTGCTCTGGTGTTAAATTGATACCACATCTATTACACAAAGATGGTGCCTCACCCTTCAGCAAATAACTATGCGTGAGAGCAGTGTGTCCCAAACGGAGCCGATACAACTTTGTCGAGTGCAGACGTTCCACGTCAAGTAAAAAAAGTGGTCCTAGGTTTGGTTTAATTCTTCTCAAAGATGTATCGGCCCGCGCCCATTGCTCCTGCCAGCGCTCATTTACACAGTGCTTGACAGCCACCTTTGTGAAATCTACAATGTTATCCTCTTGTAACTGTAGCTCCTCCATGAATTGTCTTGCTCTTTCACCTTGCGATTTATATAACCGTGTAGGTCTAGTTGTATCGGTAAGTAATCTATAATTTGGGTGTTTATCATTTTGATGTACTTTCAGGTAATAGTTAACTATTAACTGCTTTCGGCGAAGAGCAAGCGGAAGAATATTCGCTTCCACGTTGAGAGCACTGACGGGACTCGTTGGAAATGCTCCAAGGGAATATCTAATTGCTAGATTTTGAATTCTATCCAGCTTACTTAGCAACGTGGAATTACACGAGGAATAACTATAGCACCCATAGTCAATACGTGACAGAATCAACGCCTTATAAACATCAAGAAGGGATTTAGGATGAGCCCCCCATTTCAGGTGTGACAGTACTCTTAACACATTTAACGATTTCCTACTTGATGTTAGTAGGTTCTCCAAATGTTTGGTCCATCTTAATTCCCTATTAAATGTGAGTCCTAAAAATTTAATTTCGTTCGGTACACTTATTACTTGATCATTTAAGAACATAACAGGATCATAATGAGGTCTACGAAGCCTACAAAAATGCATTGCTTTGGTTTTTTCCTCAGAAAGCACATACCCTACTGAATTTGCATTTGTAGCAATTTGGTTGATGGAACCTTGCAAATTACGCACTACACTACCTACAGTTTTTCCGGCGAGGCAAATCATGAGGTCGTCGACATACAGACATCTGTCAACTGTCTCCGTAACTCCTGAGGCTATTTCATTTATTGCAATTGCAAAGAGAGAACAGCTTAAAGTTGACCCTTGCGGCACCCCATTCTCTAAAATGTGTTCCTGTGAATAGGTGTCTCCGATTTTCACAGTGAATCGCCTATCTTCTAAAAAGGAACGCACAAAGTTAGGTAAATTACCGCGTAGGTTATATTTTGACATATTCTCTAGAATTCCATGCCTCCATGTCATATCGTACGCCCCTTTAATGTCAAAGAACACCGCAACCAGATGTTCTCTATTATCGAAAGCCCTTAGGACTTTGTCACTCAGTTTTACCAAGTGATCGATTGTTGACCTGCCTCGCCAAAAGCCTGTTTGGTATACCAATATGTCGTTGGTTTCCAAAAATAATTGCAGACGACGATTCACCAATTTTTCTAATAGTTTACCCGAACAAGACGTTAGACTAATTGGCCGGTAGTGTTTTGCCAATAATGGATCTTTCCCTGGTTTGAGTCTGGGAACTACAACTGCTTTTTTCCATTCTGATGGGTAAGTACAATTTTCCCAGCATTTGTTAAAAAATATTAAAATCTTTTGTTTCATTTCCAGACTACAATGACGAATCATTTGATTATGAATGCCATCATATCCCGGTGAGCAAGATTTGGTGCTCCGGATTGCTGTCTCCAGTTCTTCAAACGTAAACGGAGAGTTATAATCTAAGATTTCTTGTGTATTAAATTCAATAAAATTTGCTTCCTTATCGGCTTTCGTTGCAAGAAAAGTTTCCGAGTAGTTCAATGAGCTGCTAACTTGATAAAATTGGTGCGCAAGAATATTTGATATTTCCTGCAGATTGTTCGTCATTACCCCCTCTGAATTACGGATAAATATCGGATAATTACATCCTGTTTTACCAGATATCGCTCCAACCTTTTTCCATATTTCATTGGTGGTAGCGGCAGGTGTAATGGTGGACACATATTGTTGCCATGATCTCCTTTGCGCTTCCAGGATTTTTCTACGACACTCCGCTGTTCTTTTTTTAAATTCAATAAGGTTCTCCAATGTTGGATGATGGCGGAATCTTTGTAAGGCTCGTTTCTTTAACGAGATTTTTTCTCCTACTTCTGGAGACCACCATGGAACCATTTTAGTCCTTTTGCGATCTTTGGATTTTGGTATACTAGCCTCCGCTGCATCCAAAATAGCAGATGTAAGACTTTTAAGACAAACTTGCTCCTCATTCGGGACTACAAGGTGGGTAACAAATTTTTCCCAGTTAGCTTTTTGAATTTTAAATTTAACCGCAGACTTAATCGCAGGATTATTACCTCGTACGGTAATAATTATTGGGAAATGGTCACTATTGTACAAATCACTTTCCACTTCCCATTTTAGACTAGTGTGGAATGAGGGCGAACATATAGACAAATCTATAGCATCAAAAGTACCTGACCTTATGTTAAAGTAAGTCGGTACATTGTTATTTAAAATGCTGAGGCTTTTATCTTCAATAAGGTCTAGTAATTCTTTACCACGGGCATCTCTTGAAATTGATCCCCAAACAGTGTGGTGGGAGTTAAAATCACCAACAAGGATAAACGGTTTGGGTAGTTGGTTAGTAATTCTTCCAATTTCTCCTACATCATAGTGTGTATTGGGTAGATAAATGTTACACAGCGCAAAGTTTCTGCTCATTTCAAGTTGTATGGCTACAACCTGATATTGTGTATTTATCTGTAACCTTTTATACGGTATGCCTGTGCGAATTGCAAATGCTACTCCGCCACATGCCCTTTCAGGTGAATAGAAATCCTTCCTTACTAGAGTAAAACCTTTCATATTAAATTTGTGTCTTACTTTTAGGTGTGTTTCCTGGAGAGCTATACAAACTGGGTCATGCTTTTGGATGATCAGCTTTAGTTCATTCAAATTATGAGCTAGTCCTCGACAATTCCACTGGATAATATTTGTTTTATCCATTGTAATTTCAAGATAGGGACAATCACAGTTGAACAAATAACATGTAAGTAAAGAGCAAATAACAGTGTATATAGGACTATTACAAATAAATAATTAACAGATAACAGTTACGTATCACAGAGATTATCACAGATCAGTTGGTGCAAGCCCCTTTCGAACTGTCCGCCGATGAACGGGGCAGTCTCGGCTTGCCTTTGGGCCATCCCTTCTTTTTCTTTCCCTGCTTAGCTTCTGCCACCGTCTCCTCATCTAGAGATGTAATACTCGACTCTCTGGACCGAACTCGAGGCAGCGATGTTTTCCGCTTTGCTCCTCGTGTTTCGGTCTCCATATCTGCTTCGGAAGTACAAGTTGATTCAATCACCATATTGGAATTTCTCGTCACCGGCTTAGTTGCAGGCTTTCCGAAGACAGCTCGAGGATATTGTTCAATTTTAGCGGTAAGAATTTGCATGAGCGGTCCCATTTCTTCTTTAATAATTGCTCTTATTTCAGGGCCAATATTTTTAACAGGTTCGGGAGCCGTAACCGGTCTGGACGCCACCTGTGCATAGGAGGAAGTGGGAGCTGTTGGAGTGCCCACTTTCTTTTTAGCTTCTGGGTAAGACAGTCTCTGCACTACTTTGACTTCTTGGATTTTCATTTCTAATTTGAAAACCGGACATGTTTTAGTGACCGCCTTATGCGGCCCTTTGCAATTCGGGCATTCAATTGGTTCTTCACAAGCAGTGCCCTCATGTGCAGGTTTCCCACATACACACCTCCTTTCGTATTTACAGTTTACTGCCGAATGTCCAAATCTTTGGCAGTTAAAACATCTAAGGGGGTTTGGAATATATGGACGCACCTGTAGGGGGTAAAACGCTGCTTGGATTGTCCGTGGTAACCTCGGGGTGTTAAAGGTAAGTACATGGTTGGCAGTGTCTACAAATATTCCCTCCCTCCGTGTCCTAATTCGCCTTACTTCTACCACACCTTGACTTTTTAAATTGTCCTTTATCTCCTCAATGGAGCAATTCAACAAATCGCGACAAAATACTACTCCTTTTGACGTATTAAGGATTCCATGAGGTGTTACCTCAACCTCGAATTCACTGAAACGCGTACATTTAATCAGTTGTCGCGACTGTTTATTTGAGACCGTCTCGACCAAAAGCTCTCCCTTCACCTTTTTAACATCTTTGACATTTCCTACTATTCCGTATAATACTTTACTTATGAGGAAGGGACTTACAGTTGTAAAGTCACCTTCCTTCCTTCTAACTACCAAGAACCGGGGCGTATCCTCCTCCTTCTCATTGGTAGCATTATCTGGTCGCTGTCGCCGGTCCACAGCAGGCGCAACGCCGCCACCTGCTGAAAGGGCTGTTTCACCACGACTGCCCAACGTGGTCAAAATTGGCGATGTCTGGATGCCCCTCCCAGAATCCTCGGGGCTGACCAGCGAACTGGTGTGGGATTGTGAGACTGCGTCTCTACCCACCTGGGATACAGTGTCCAAATAGAGTTGTACCGACATCGCCATTTATGTCCCTTTGTCGCAGGGACCACACGCCTTTTAGGTGAGGGAACCAGCTAGAGTCCGCATGCTCGCCAAGCACGTAAGTTTCGGAAAACTCCCCTTGCGTGAGTGCTAGCGACTCACTAACGCAGAGCCATTCATCCTCTCGGCACACTCCACCTTAGGATTTCGGGATTAATAGACAGGATAATCAAGGTAGGTTTATAGGATGGAGTTATAGGAATTGGAACAGATTAAGGGTATTTCAGGACACGGTTGGACTAGCCGCCTCCTGTCCCATTGGTCGCCTTCTACGACCTCCAGGGCGGGAGTGGGTCAATTCTACCCCCGAGCCCACAGGGGGTTATTATTATGGTCGGTGTATCTTGTGAGAACTCAGGTCTAGCCTGGTTAACTAATCGCACGGATTAAAATCAAGTAACGATTATTATTATTATTATTATTATTATTATTATTGTCGGTGTTTCTTGTGAGAACTCAGGTCTAGCCTGGTTAACTAATCGCACGGATTAAAATCAAGTAACGATTAGTGTCTGTGTCTGTGTCTGGTGAAGTTATGTAGGGTCCTTAAAAAAAAAAAATAAAAAAAATCACACACGTACATTGGACATCTAGGGATAGTATGTAATTCGTACTTACCAACATACCTATTGATGCGCACAATAGCCAACGCTATCAGGAAAGAGGAAAACAAAACAAAACAAAAAAAATCATTATAATAATTCCTGTAATTTTATTAAATGGAGTTTATTGTGTAAGTGTTTCTCTGGCTTTGCGCTTGGGTTGAATACGAGTGGGTTGTGATAACGTGGTGTGTTTCTGTGAAGAAAGAGTATTGTGTGTTTTAATTGTATTTATGGTGTTTCTTTGTTCCTGAGGTGGTATTTGTGAGGTTGCTTGGGTTTTTGGTGGAGATATTGCAGTATTTTGTGAGCCTGTGGTGCTGTTAAGGTTTTTGCGCTTCGGTTGTATACGAGTGGGTTGTGACAATGTGGTGTGTTTCTGAGAAGAAGGAGTATTGCGTTTTTTAACTGTGCTAGGACGTGTAACTTTATTGGGTGGACCTGTCTTTGTAGTGCATGTTGCGTTACTTGTATTTATGGTGTTTCTTTGTTCTTGAGGTTTTATTTGTGTGGTTGCTTGGGTTTTTGGTGGAGATATTACAGTATGTTGTGAGCGTGTAGTTCTGTTAAGGTTTTCGCGTTTCGGTTGAATACGAGTGGGTTGTGATAACGTGGTGTGTTTCTGTGAAGAAGGAGTTTTGTGTTTTTTAATTGTATTTATGGTGTTTCTTTGTTCCTGAGGTCGTATTTGTGAGGTTGCTTGGGTTTTTGGTGGAGATATTGCAGTATTTTGTGAGTCTGTGGTGCTGTTAAGGTTTTTGCGCTTCGGTTGAATACGAGTGGGTTGTGATAATGTGGTGTGTTTCTGTGAAGAAGGAGTTATGTGTTTTTTAACTGTGGTAGGGCGTGTAACTTTATTGGGTGGACCTGTCTTTGTAGTGCATGTTATTATTATTATTATTATCGGTGTTTCTTGTGAGAACTCAGGTCTAGCCTGGTTAACTAATCGCACGGATTAAAATCAAGTAACGATTAGTGTCTGTGTCTGGTGAAGTTATGTAGGGTCATTAAAAAAAAAAAAAAAAATCACACACGTACATTGGACATCTAGGGATAATGTAATTCGTACTTACCAACATACCTATTGATGGGCACAATAGCCAACGCTATCAGGAAAGAGGAAAACAAAACAAAAAAAAAAATCATTATAATAATTCCTGTAATTTTATTAAATGGAGTTTATTGTGTAAGTGTTTCTTTGGCTTTGCGTTTGGGTTGAATACGAGTGGGTTGTGATAACGTGGTGTGTTTCTGTGAAGGATGCGTTTTATGTTTTTTAACTGTATTTATGGTGTTTCTTTGTTCTTGAGGTTGTATTTGTGTTGTTGCTTGGGTTATTGGTGGAGACATTACAGTATTTTGTGAGCCTGTAGTGCTTTTAAGGTTTTTGCGTTTCGGTTGAATACGAGTGGGTTGTTTCTGAGAAAGAGGAGTATTGTGTTTTTTAACTGTGCTAAGACGTGTAATTTTATTGGGTGGACCTGTTTTTGTAGTGCATGTTGCGTTACTTGTATTTATTGTGTTTCTTTGTTCTTGAGGTTGTATTTGTGTTGTGGCTTGGGTTATTCGTGGAGATATTACAGTATTTTGTGAGCTAGTAGTGCTGTTTAGGTTTTTGCGTTTGGGTTGTATACGAGTGGGTTGTGATAACGTGGTGTGTTTCTGTGAAGAATGAGTTTTATTTTTTTTTTTATTTTTTATTATTATTATTATTATTATTATTATTATTATTATAGTAAGGAGGTTGCAAGCTTGCAGATCTATCCCCAAATCAGTTTGGCTTCAAGAAGGGGAGGAGATGCCTTTAACAAGATTGCCACCATCGGTGGCGAACCTCTAAAAGGCACGTGGAGGGCCAGATAGCTGACTATAATTGATTCACTAGACATAAAGAATGCTTACTACCTATAAGAAGAAACGCCCCACATATTCACAGATCAATCTAATGAAGCGCGTTTACCGTCCGGGAGGATTAATAGCTTCACCGTCAACGGGGGGACACAAGAAGGCGCAGTTCTAGGACCACGCCTATGGAATATTGCGTCTGATGGTGGACTGAAGTTCATTGGTTACGTGGACGATGTTAGTGTGATGGTGGTTCATTGGGAGCTACAAGAGGCGAAGAGCAGAATAGAGCAGGTGATCGATAATGTTAGTTCACTACTTTCTCTAATATATATAAATGATCTTCCATATGTAATTTCTGCCAACACAAGGTGTCTACTCTACGCCGATAATGAAAAGGTTGTTAACTTGTTGTCTCGAGCAAATTGTAGCCTGAGTATGGCAAAACAGTGGAGCGAATGGAATGAACTAACCAATAACAAAACAAAAATGGAGAACATGGTGCTTACACTTAAACACCACGATTTAGCCAACCGTGATTGTGTGAAATTTCTCGGAGTGTACTTATGGTTCGATTTTCACGTCAACTATATTTCCGCCAAACTGAACACAAATAACACTGAACACTGTCTAATTGTTAAACAGCTTCAGTATTTATAAATATTCTACAATATATAAGATGATCCAAAATCTGGCAGACCTCTTGAGGCAAGAACATAGGAGACAATAAAGAGAATTGAAAAGATGAAATAATTAAATTTTTAGTTATTACAATGGTGGACACATCAGACGTAAAAAGTATTCTCTGCGCTTATACCAGTAATAAGGTCTTTTAATTTGAACCAGAATCATTTTCCCTAGTACATAGTACATAGCCGCCATTTGCGAGTAACTAAGCATCCATTTACATTTACAGGAACTAGAACCGTTCAATTGTTGTATGAAAATAAATGCCTAATGGGAAAATACGTTCTGAAAAGGCACCGAGCCCTTGCGATTTCCATAGCGAACATGGCTCTCATGATCTAGTAAATCTGTTTAATTCCAGATAGGTGGCCAGGTAATAGTTGGATACAGACACCATTATGCAAGTGATTTTATTGTTGAGTACAAGAGTTGTTTCTAAAGCTACTTTGATAAATAACTTTTTCACTTGACACACGAATTTAATAAAAACGACGAGTAGGGCAGTAATCATTCATAACTGGATCTACGGAAAACCACCAGATAATAAGTAAAACGTAGCGTAAACGAGTAGGGTTCGAAGAATATGAGGAAAAGAACATAACTAGGGATTTTCTGTTCGTAAATAATACAGCCGGGGATACTTTTGGAGCATAATCTGAAATCAAGTTACCCAGGATATGTTAATGGTGGGTCAAGGTTGGTAATAAAATACGAAATTTATTAAAATGTAAAAAGAATTCTAAATTTAGTCGTTCCACAAAATTCTGGACTATTAACAACAGATGCTGAGAATCATTTCTATAACGAGCCGTGAAACTTTCGCCTTAAATTGTCAAACCTCCTCTATATTATTTGTAGTATAACGCTCACGTCTCCAGATGTACGTAATTGTGTAATTACTTTGCTTTATCCGCGACTATAAAATGATGGTCGCTGTAGGTACCTACTTGCATATTTTTAGCCAAGTTGTAAATCAGCATATGAATGATTAAAGCGCATTTTTGGTAATACAGATCAGTATTTTATTAGCGAAGTTTAAAATTATTGATCTCACGAGTAATTTTGGCGGCGTTAAATAATTAATTTGATTGAATTATAA